ATTTGGTGGCCTTCTGCGATGGGGTTACAGAACTGATGGATGGGGTAGAGCAGCTGACGTCATCTACCTGGACTTGTGTAAAGCTTTCAACACTGTCCCACATGACATTCTTGTCTCTAAATTGGAGAGACATCAATTTGATGAATGGACCACTCGGTGGATAAAGAACTGGCTGGATGGCCGCACACAAAGAGTTGTGGTCAATGGCTCAATGTCCGGCTGGAGACCAGTAACGAGTGGTGTCCCTCAGGGATCGGTGTTGGGACCGGTCTTGTTTAACATCTTCCTCGCTGACATGGACAGTGGGATTGAGTGCGCCCTCAGCAAGTTTGCCGATGACACCAAGCTGTGTGGTTCGGTTGATACGCTGGAGGGAAGGAATGCCATCCAGAGGGACCTTGACACGCTTGTGAGGTGGGCTGATGCCAACCTCATGAAGTTTAACCATGCCAAGTGCAAGGTCCTACACCTGGGTCGGAGCAATCCCAGGCACAGCTACAGGCTGGGCAGAGAAGAGATTCAGAGCAGCCCAAGGAGAAGGACTTGGGGGTGCTGGTCGATGAGAAAATGAACATGAGCCGGCTTCAGTGTGCGCTTGCAGCCCAGAAAGCAACCGTATCCTGGGCTGCATCAAAAGGAGTGTGACCAGCAGGTCGAAGGAGGTGATCCTGCTCCTCTACTCTGCTCTCGTGAGACCTCACTTGGAGTATTGTGTACAGTTCTGGTGTCCTCAACATAAGAAGGACATGGATCTGCTGGAACAAGTATAGAGAAGGGCCACGAGAATGATCAGGGGACTGGAGCACCTCCTGTATGAAGATAGGCTGAGAAAGTTGAGGCTGTTCAGCCTGGAGAAGAGAAGGCTGCGTGGAGACCTCATAGCATCCTTCCAGTACCTGAAGGGGGCCTATAGGGATGCTGGGGAGGGACTCTTCATTAGGGACTGTAGTGGTAGGACAAGGGGTAATGGGTTAAAACTTAAACAGGGGAAGTTTAGATTGGATGTAAGGAGGAAATTCTTTCCTGTTAGGGTGGTGAGGCACTGGAATGGGTTGCCCAGGGAGGTTTTGAATGCTCCATCCTGGCAGTGTTCAAGGCCAGGTTGGACGAGGCCTTGGGTGATATGGTTTAGAGCAAGGTGTCCCTGCCCATGGCAGGGGGGCTGGAACTGGATGATCTTAAGGTCCTTTCCATCCCTAACTATTCTATGATTCTATGAATGTAAAGAATACATTTTTATGCTGGGTTTTAGCTCTGAACTCACACAAGCACTGATACAGAAAACTATGAGCAACAGTTGCCTACATTCTATTAAGAATCCACAGACAGATAATCAACCACTCCGTATGTTCAGGTTTCAGTAGCTGATTCTGTACTTATCTTGATATACATCATAAAAAAAAAATCTGAGACATTCAGAAGCTGAAACCTAATGCTTTAATCCTCAATGGTCATTCTGCCTACACTTCATATTTTCAAGCCCATTCTCTAGTTCTGAATCAGTATGTTTCAGGGAATTCCCTCATTCACAGGCCATATTCCCACCATGGATCCTGATAACAATGTTCAGACTCATGAAGTCTTGGTCCCTCTTTATTGCAAAGAACCATGGCCCAAAAGATTTCCTTTCCTCTAGGGAAAAAGGACCTGTTTTATGATCTCTTCCTGACACACAGCAGATCAAAGATGGGAACACAGGAAAGTCAGGTCTAACCTACCAGAAAAGACAGTGGCTGCATAAGAAGAAATAAACCCCATGTATCTCTGAATTTTCCTACTTATAAACCATCTCATGCAGGACTCCAGCAGGAACAAAGATAACATTCTCCAACACCCCCCTTCCCTAGTGACAAGGGCATATTATCTGCACCTTCCCCCCATCCCATATCTGAACCTTCTTGTAAATAAGATGCTGTATCTTTCCTTCTTACATTCAGTTAAGTAATTCTGCACATAGCAACTTCTCCCAAGCCATTTAATACCGCAGCCTTATCTGCAAGAGCCAGCTTTGGCTTTGTAAGGAAAATAACCAGGTTATATTCACTTAGTTCAAATGTGTCCACTTTAATTTGAAGAGCACTGACTCAATAAGTATGTGTGAATGTAAAAGTGTTTCACAAACACAACTGTGTATATGGATCTGTGTATTATTTCTTTTTATGTATTAACTGCTCATAAGTGCTCTAGATAAAAGAGCATTGTGGAGGTTTTTTAATAAACATTTCCTCTATCAAACAAATGGAACCAAATTGGTGTTTATGCAGGCAAAATTTGTTCACGTAAAGCTCACTTAAGCGGTATTTCTTCTGTAGGTAATGAATTCGCACCTCACTCACTCTATTTCTGCAGCTAAGTGCTCAGATAAGTGCTCCCACCACAGAGACCATTTTACCAGGAGTTCATTTTGCATCTTCCTGCCTTCAACCACACAGCATGGGGACTTGGGCCGCCTCAACGAGTGGGAGTTTGAGCAAGATCAAACACTAAGGAAGAGATCTGTGCTGCACTGCTACTCTGACTGAATTTATCCCCATCTTTTGAAGTAGAGCAGGAACCTTTTCTTTGGGCAAAACAACCTGAAATGTACTTACAGTCCTTCTTGAACGCAACTTCAAATACAAATGCCAGCTTGCAGGCTCTGACAGAAAGACAAGATACTACAAACAAACCTTCCTTTGTACAAAAAACATAGCAACAAATTTCAAGAGCAAAAGCAGATGCTATTCTTGTCCTCTTGAGTCTAGCCCACAAACAGATTAATCCTATTTTGTTGTTTGCTTTTCAAAACAGAGGCAAGGCATGCCGCTTCTCACTCAAGTGGCAGCTGCGCCAAACAGCCCCTGGATTCCATTTCTTTCTATAGATCACAATGTCAACGACTTTCATTTCCTAAGCATATCCACTCTAAACCTTATTCCCTCCCCATAATACAAAAATCTCTTTTCTGTTGAACTAAATCTATGTAAAATGTCAGGAAACAGCACCACACACTGACAACGTGGCAGTAATTAACAAACACTGACTTACATGCCATTTTCACATACCCCTTACACTTCCAAAGATTAAGGTAATATTCTTTTCTATTATGGCCTGAATTACAGCAAGCTAGAAAGAACAGCCAAGAATGGCAGAAAATAATACAAGTTTTTCAGCACTTTTATAGGACAATAATAATAGAGAGGGACCATGTGCTCCGTGTCCTTAATAATTTCCCAGGGAACTGATAGCAAGCTTAGAATTGTCTTTATGCATACTTTAACTCAATTTAAAAACCCCATTATCCAAGACTTAAGCAAGTCAGGTCACGGTAAGGAGTTTACACATACCCATATACATCATGTTACTTAGGAGTAAGATAAAAACCTAAATAACTTAGTTTTAATAAGCTGATGGTAAGACTGAAATGAAACCCAAGGAAATTGCTCATTAAATAACAGACCCCATGCACAGCAACCCCACTAATGAGAGCTTACTTTAATTTTCCAATTATTTTACTTCTGCAACTACAACAGAGCTGGAGAGAAGGATTTCAGATTTCATGCACACACAACCACAGGTATTTCCTTTCAATAGTTCCACCTATAATTACTATGTGATTCTCATACTTAGGTTCTAAAGATGTGACCAGCATGAGCTTTCCTTTGTCACTGAAAAGACCCAAATCACACTGTTTTCATTGCCTGAAAAATGCATATACTTAGAATTAAATGTACTTAATGTTAAGGCAGTATCAGCTGAGTTTTCCATGATCTTGTTGCAGCAATAATATTCCTAGATTTCATGGTACTCTTTGTCACACAATAAAACATCAGGCCCATGGGTGGGCATTCCTCATTGTCCTGCTACTTCCAAAGTAATCTGATCTGCTACATGGCTAACAGCTTTTCTTAGAGAGTTTTTTCCAAATAGGAACAACAAGATGGCATCAGAGCTGATCATCTCACATAATTCTAGGCTACCAGGTTCCTTGAACTGAGGGTAGGCACCACCCTTCTCCAAAAAGGCCAAAACACAGTGACCCTAAGAAGCTTAACAAAGCTCCTCTCCCCCGGCTCTTCATTGGAGAGAGAAGGGCATCGATACCCAAGTAAAGACAAGGAATATACTTCACTAATCTCCCACCCTTTGGTGTCCATTTAGAATACAGATAACTGCTTCAGAGCAATGAGGAGGGGATCAGCTACATGAAAACAGAGACACTGTAGCAGGGGTGGGTTACAAAGGGGAGTACACTGGGCTAGGTACTGAACTCAGTCCAGGACACAGGAATGATCCAGCTGCACAAAGCATCTACAATTGCAATTCTCTCAGCCCTGGTGGTCAGCTGCTCACCACTTTCTGAACTCCATGTGGGATTATCTCCACCTTTGCCAACCGCCCTTTCAAGGGACTAACCAGGCCACTACCTAGGCACCTAAGCTCACACAACCACATACTGATGGTAGAGCAGGTTGTAAGCTAACCCAGCAGTTCACCATAGGGGTTACCCACAGGAGCACTTAACGGGAAGTTTTATCACTTGAAACATATTGTATTTGCATTAACCCATTAGCTTCACAGAGAAAGTGCTGCCAGCAGTATGCACTTCACTAACTAGCAGGGAGTACTCGAGTACATCATGACAGTAACGCCAGTGGTGTCACAATTCTCTGACCACATCACATTCTTAATGATACCTGTCAATATTTTGACGCTGAAATTAAAGAGTAACAGCATAAGCAACAGCACAATAAAACATCTGTTGTCATCATCAGAAATCCTAAGGGAAAATGCACATTTGTTCCCCCAGATACCCAACAAAACCCTGACTTCATACAAGGTCATATTCTCTGAAAAAGCAGGCCACATTTTTTCCCATGGATGACTTAAAATCGAATTTGTATTTAAGTTCACTAACCATTTGCCATTTTCTTCCTATTTACTGTAGATTTCTGCAATATCTGAAAGCACTGTGGTTTTCCAGACTCCCATTGTAAGGAAAATTCAATAGGTTTACTTACGCATTAGGTTGTAAATGTGCTTTTCTGCAACATGTTCCGTAAACAGCTTTATAAGGTCATCTTTTAAGTCTCTGTTAAGCTTGGTTTCTATGTAAAATTTATTCTGGAAAATAAGACAGAAGTTTCCAAGTTTGTTTTTCATAACAGCAAACAAAATACACTTACTTATCCAGAAATAAAAATAGAATTTAAAGCTGCAGAATATTTGACCTGTAAAGCGCTTCCTCAGTGACTGTATTCATACTAAATAGAACATACCTGTACAATAAAAACACCCCCAGGTATTTAAAATTAAGAATGCAGCTGGTACTACTGGTAACAAACCTACTTACAGACAGGGATGCTTCTGCCCCCCCGCCCCATATCTACACATGTATCTCCATACTGATCCAGACTGGGGAGTTTGTAGGAAAAAACACTTCATTTTAGAACTTCAGAAATGCTCTAACTCCAAAATAGGGTTGGACATAATGTTTGCAACAAAACAAAGCATTTTTACCAGTGTCTAAAGGCAACTAAGCCATTAAAATAGGTATGTTACAATTAACAAATCACCACTTCTGTCTGGTTCATTGCTAATCCCAGCGGAAAGCTGGTCAGAATTAATCAGCTGTGGCAATAAGTGATATATACAAAACTGTGCAAAACTGAACTACACTGGCATTTTTAGGATTCAATTATCTCAACCCACTCAGCATTAATAATAAATTCACCTTTTCAACCTTCAAAGGAAATCGTATTCTTGAGTTCCTTGAGGACCTCTATACCTAATGTACTATTTAGTGTTATTCCTCAGTTCCCAGCCTGCAATTAATAGTAAGATTTCTTTGTTACTTTATTCATAGGTGGGTTTGAAATGCTGGGAAAAATGTTTCAGGATAAATCTCCTATCGTCACAACATTAGCATGGAAGTAGAACAACTGAATTCATCTGGACACCACGTGTAAAAGAGTTCAATAGATACTGTAATGGAAAATCAACTTAATAAAAAATAATGTACTGAAGCACTTAACAGATTTACTAGAGGAAGGGATCTCTTAAGGGAGCAAGGTTTTTCCACACTTTAAATCAAGTTGTTCTCCACGAACGCATTTAGCATAACTGGAACAAGCCCTCGGAACACTATTAGAGCAATCCTGAAATTTCTGTTTCTGAAACCCATTTTCTTGGCCATTACAAACTGTACACATAACATAACAAACTGACCGTGCAGAAACCACTTACATTTTCAAGGCAAGTACTCAGCAGCATTTACCTTTAATGAAAACCGAGCCTACTGGAACAAAAGCAATGTGAGGGCTGAATACCTGCCCCTATTGAAGTTCAGGTTTGTTGCAGTAATGGGTAACAATATTCTTAAGCTATTTTTAAAGATATAGTAGCTTCCTACTGACAGTTCCCTCCCTACCAGCAGAGGGGTATTACTCAAAGGCTATTACTCAGTTGTTTTCCCCTCACCTTGACCTGTTCTTTGAGCAGAGGTTGAGAGAAAGACTGTAGTATTTTTGGTCAATGGTGAATTGCCATTGCAAGAGAAATTCACAGCAACTGAAGATACACATCATAGAACCATAGAATAGTTAGGGTTGGAAAGCACCTTCAGATCATCCAGTTCCAACCCTCTGCCACAGGCAGGGATGCCTCACACCAGACCATGTCACCCAAGGCTCTGTCCAACCTGGCCTTCATCTCAGAAACATTAAGCTACACACTATGCTACAGTCTTTCATCAAACCTAGCTTCCTAAACTGTTTCCACCTTGAGCTTCCTGACCACATGCTACCATGTACCTACTGGTGCCAGACACAGGAGTGACCAGAGCATCTCAGCACAGGTCTACTGAGATGAACCAAACCTGACAATACCAAACTACTGATTTTCATGAGCAGTTAGATTAAGGAAAGAGCTTACTCTGGTCCCTTCCCGGACTAGTGACTTTTTTACATGACAAGCAGCTGGCAACAAGTGCAAACTGCGATGCTTCTTTTTGTTCAATTGAAAAACCTATGCCTTAAGTCTCATAACTATAAAAGCAACAAAAATCCCCAGCAGCTTCAAGCAGAAGAGCTACAACAGAGTACTTAACATGGAACAACCACAAAATATTCTTCACGCTTGCTCACTTGGAAGAACCTTTCCAAAAAGACGTTACATTTGCATGATCGAAACATCATCTAACCTAAGTACTTCGCTTCCAATCCACAGGGCTGAAAGGAGATAGCAGAAGAGTTGTCACCTTCCGTTCTTGTTAGTGGAGATGTCACTACATAGACTGTACCAGTATTTAAGTGTGTTAAGTCACCTACAGGTCTAACTGACAGAAGAAGGTAAGCAGGTATCAGTAACCAAGAAAGTCAGAGATGATATAAGCCTTTCTTCCACAAAACACCATATCATGTAAGGCAGATGTTAAAAAACACAGCTGTGTTAATATTAAGAGATCAATAAACACTTGAAAGAGAAAAAACAATATATAAGAACACTCATCCACATGTATATAGTGGTATGGTATATATACACACACACTCACATATATTCGTGTATAAAGACACACATGAAATGCCCTCTAAATAATAAGCAACAAAGTGATAGCACCCAGTAAGAACAGTAGTATTTTAAAGGCAATGAAAACATTCTTAACTATTCTAAAACCACAGTGCTCACAAACATTGGGCTCATTTAAAACCACAAGATCACAGGTTTTCAGCTACATCTCCAAGTATAATTAACAACTGAGAACCTATTAGAAAAATAAGTACATCAGCTAAATGCTGATTTTAATTTTTCCTGAAGTGGAAATATGATTTTTATTCATTCATGTGTGCAGCATGCTGTGATACGCACAATCTGTGAGCATGCAGAATAACCTCATTTAGATTTGCAAAGCAAACACGTAACCACTAGGAATCATTCTTAGGAATAAAGCCCCATGTACTAAACTGCTTCTAGTTTAATTTGCTTTATTTGCAGTTATACCCTGGAGCTTCTGAAGGACCCAGAGCATTCTGAAGGGACAAAAGTGCTCTGGGTCTCCATGCTTTCTTGAGAAGTCCACTGTGTTCAGCCTGGAGAAGAGAAGGCTGCGTGGAGACCTCATAGCAGCCTTCCAGTATCTGAAGGGGGCCTATAGGGATGCTGGGGAGGGACTCTTCATTAGGGACTGTAGTGATAGGACAAGGGGTAATGGGTTAAAACTTAAACAGGGGAAGTTTAAATTGGATATAAGAAAGAAGTTCTTTACTGTTAGGGTGGTGAGGCACTAGAATGGGTTGCCCAGGGAGGTTGTGAATGCTCCATCCCTGGCAGTGTTCAAGGCCAGGTTGGACAGAGCCTTGGGTGATATGGTTTAGTGTGAGGCATCCCTGCCCATGGCAGGGGGGTTGGAGCTTGATGATCTTAAGGTCCTTTCCAAACCTAACTATTCTACGATTCTGGTGTCCTCAACATAAGACCAGAAAAATCCATCACCACATAAAAACATACACCCACTAGTGTGACTAGCAAAAGAAGGAAACAGAAAACTCCCTCAACTGCAAAGTCAGCCCTCCCAACCATCACTCAGGATTTGAAGCACACCTTGGTCACCATATACAACCAGGTTAAGAAAACACCTTTCCTGTATTCCCACCATTCACACACATGAATATGGTTTGGTACCCATCAGGGAAGAAGAACAGTGCACATGTTGACATCAAAACACAGAAATAAGCCTAAGGAAAAATTCTGTGTCTTTTTTGGCCACCAAGGGACAAAAACCATGTTTCAGTTGTACAAAAAAAACCACTTTAGCTTTTCCTCAGCTTCATTCATTTTAAATATTTAAATGCATATTAAAAGTTTTCCTAAGCAGCAGCAGAATGATCCTTTCAGAACTAAGTTTGTCAGTGCAACTCAACAGCCTTGCAAACTCCTAATTACACCAATCACACATCAGTACTGAGAAAGGAAATCCCTGCATCTCTGATAAAGAGCTTAACAACTTAGTCCTCTTCACTTAAAAAGACACTGAAAATAACTATTAAATAACTGCAAAGCTGCAATTTGTACTGTAGGATAATCAGACTTTTACGTCTTGCAATTGTTTTTTAATTATATTTTCCTGTCTGAATAAAGGAAACTGCTGAAAAAAAAACTTGATTAGACCCTAAAATATAAAATTGCAAGAGTAGCTGTACATAAAAGTACTTCCAAACACATACAGAAAAAAAATCTGAACACTTTTCATCCTGACTTATCCAAGTATATTTTCCATATCATGCACAGCACTGATTAATAAATTATTTGAGAGAACAAGTAGGACACTTAATTTGACATCAGCCTTCAAAATCAGCTATATATCTGAGCCAGCTCAGTACTGTATTTGGCAGCAAAAGGGACTAATATGTAAGTCACCAACTTTACTTCAAAGGGGCTTTTAAGAAAGATGGGGACAGGCACTTCAGCAGTGCCTGCTATGATAGGACATGGGGTAATGGTTTTAAGCTGAAAAAGGGTAGTGTTAAACTAGATAAGGAAAATATTCTTTACAATGAGACACTGGCACAGCTGCCCAGAGAAGCAGCAGATGCCCCATCCCTGAAAACATCCGAGGCCCGCCTGGACAGGACTCTGAGCAGCCTGATCGTTGAAGATGTGTCTCCTCATTGCAGGGGAAGTTGGACTAGAGGACCTTTACAGGTCCTTTCCCACCAAAACCAATTATGATAGCTCTCAGGCCTAACTTGAATTAAGTCAGGCCAGGTTGGACAGGGCTTGGAGCAACCTGCTCTAGTGGAAGGTATTCCTGCCCATGGCAGGGGGTTGGAACTGGATGAGCTTTAAGGTCTCTTCCAACCCAAACCATTCACTGATTGTACGAAATGGAAAAGTGTTTGCAGCAACAGAATTTTACTGCTTGAATAAATCACCAGTCATGCTTTAAAGAAGCTTCTCCTTTAAGTCAAGAGAGTACTTTCTCTCTTCTTCATTCTGAAATAAAATATAAAATCCCTATTCATTTTACAGGTCTGTTTATTACTCATTAACTATTTTTACAACTTTTAGATATCAGTTACACTAAAAACGAAAGGATGAGATACAGAGAGTCTTCATTTGAAGATATAAACACCACATCACAACTGTGCACGAAGAAGGGTATAGAAATCCATTCAGCAATTATACCTTGCCTGGTCATGTAAATACAGCTTATAATGATAAAACCTGTCTGATTATGTGTATCATGAACACTGTCTAGATGATTGTTATGCAGTTTTAATTGTTAAAGATAGATTTTGACCTCTGTGATGGAATTGAGTATTCAATAAACGTACACACCTGAACAGCTTATCTCCATTTGTAAATGGATATTAAATTATGAGACCTCTTAAACACCAGCCTGCAATAAACAAGTTAAGCACACATGGGTGAATAAATGGCTAGCATATAAAAATATCTGAATGCAACAAGGGGAAACAGTCTCTTCCTAGTTTTTCTCCAGGACTTTACAACAGGAGCAAGGGGAAAAATACAAAATCAGCACCAGGAACACAGCTCTCTGCTTAGAAGTAAAGCTGTGGCAACTGGATTTCATTCTGTATTAATGAGAGAAAAGAGCAATTAGAAGACATTCAGGTCAAGACAACCAAATTCCCCTTTTAATGCAAGAAACCTGCATGGCTGCACAATGCTGAAAGACTATAGCAAGTTACCCGGTTTCAGACACTTTGTCTGAAACAGGATATCCTTCTAACAGATACTGTTTCCCAAACTCTGGGAAGCTGCCAATGAGAATAATTTTGACAAGTTTGAGATTTATTTTATCTAAATCAGTTTAAATACTTCCTTTTCTTTTAAAAAAAGTTTCTTTCCCAACAAATATTTCCTTTCTTTTTCTTACTCCTAAGTGTTGCCAATGTAAGGACGGTTTCCAGGAGAAGACAAAACTCAAGCTTAAGTTATTCACTACATTAAAAAAAGGCAACAAAAGTCTTGGCACTTTGGCAAAAATTATGCAAACCATAAAGCTCTTGAGATGCGTAGAAGACACTGAATTACAAAATCAGCATGACAAACATAGCCAATGGTTTCTGAACCTCTGTGAGTATGCCTGACAGTGCTGTGAACTTAAGTTTGTCTTCCTCCAGTCAACACTCTAAATTGCTTTATCAAGTGACACACATTTCCAAGAGACATTTCTTTCCGTTTTGTCTGAATCTGTGCAATTTAAAAGCAAGAAACAATCATCTTTGTAACCTGCCCAAAGTACCAAGCCAACATAGAAATGAGCCACTAAACTATCTCTAATAAATAATGACCTAACTACTTGGGACAGCTTTTTTTCCAAACAAAATAAAAACCATTCCCCCCACTCCTAGGAAGGAAATATTAGGGCAGAAACCAACTGCAAAATACTACATTTAAAAGCACAGCTCCCCTTCCTTCTCCCCACAATCGGTACTGTTATGCAGGCAGCAAAAGCAGGCATGAATCATAAATGCTACTACAAGTTACAAATCATTACAGCTGCATTTTATTCTTTTCACTTTCAGTCAATATCTTGTGTATGGATATACTTTATTTGAAAAGAATTTTCTAAAACTTACCATATATATGAAAAGAGGCACAATGCTCTGCAATGCTCCCATATACTGTCCAAGAGCTACGTTAAATCTTTCAATATAGAGATCTGGAGGGCTGGCCTGCAAGAAACCGTAAAAGTCAGGTTGTAATTTGAACAAGAGAAAGATCTGGAACAGCATGGGCTATGCTTTCATAGCAAACTCAAAACACTACGAAGTATTTGATACACTAAGTCCACACAAAGCAAGCCACACATCATTCCAGAGTTTCTGCTAGAACTCCCTCCAGCAAAACAGGTTTCTTCAGTAACTGATTTTTGCCTAGGACTATATGTCAGTGCCCAGCAAAAGGTCCATGCTATAGGAAATACAGTATTCCTGTAACAAACTAGCAGTTAGCATATTCAAATAAAAGCACTTATTAAAGACCAGACCTTTGTTTTGAAAGATCTATCACTCCTAGAACCCATAACCAATATTCAACAAGTGCTACAGTGTGTGTTCCAACCCCCCTGGAGTCTTCTACCCCAAGAGCAGGGTGGCATAAAGCTGCTGCTTTGCACCTGTAGTGGCAAGTGGCACATCCTCCAGCTCCAGGGAACACTGTTCCTCATAGAAAACATATGGGTTTTGGCTGGGTCACTTAAGGCAAGGCAAGTATTCAGGGAGCTGACCTGGAGGGACTATGAAGCAATGTCTTCAGATAGAGCTCTGCAACTGGCATCCTGCACTCCAGATGAGGCTCACTAACATCTACTGCAGCCCTGCAAAACACAGCATTATCCTGTGGCCCCAAGCAAAACTCTGCTACACAAAACCTGAACGTGCTAACTTTATGATAGCGTTTGTAGAGACCACAGTGACAGCACTGCTATTTTCTGTGTACAATACCATCTTTCCCAAAGGAAGAGCTAAGGAAGCTAAAAGGATCTGTTCTGCAGCAAACTGAGTTGAAGTGAGAAGGGAACCAGACAAATGGGAAACACGAGCTACTGTTTCTTTTATAAATACTTATTTGGAGGGATGCAGGTTGCTGTGTTAAGAGCATTCAGGAGCACATGTACATACCCAGGGATGGGAGCAGAGATGGGGTAACATGGTCCTCACATCGTGCTCTGCCTCTGGCCCAACTCCTGCTTTCACTGTTACAGTCTTTTCAGAGGAGCATAGGCAGCTGCCTACATTTCTACTGTTCATACACATACACACACCTACACACTCCCAAGTACAAAGCATTGCTTGCTAATGACAAATAAAACTTCTCTTCCCTCACACCACTTTCCTCTCTGACAGTGCCAAGCCAGAGGAGGATGGAGAAAGCAGCAGTGACTGAGATCTCACTATGCAACAAAACAAGCTCAAGATTTTCTCAAGCCAAAGCATCTGTGGTGTGAGAAACACCCAAGGCTAGCTGCACCTCCAACACCTTATAGGAATTTAAAGCTCTTATCTCTATGAAGCTGATTTTTCATCCTTCACATCGACATTCACCAGGGCTCCAAAAGAACAGGTAAAATTAATGCTGACCTTCTGCTAACTGTTCTAAATTGATCAAAGGTTTCTTCACTTTAAACTAGCTTCTTTTGCCTCCCTCCTTAATATGCTTAATGAACACGTGGGTAATTTTTCACAGCAAACGCTGATACAGTGCAAACATTTCAGAAAGGAAAGCAAAACTGGCAAAGGAATAAAGAGTGTTATTCCATATGCAGTTGCTAAAGGTTATATATGGCTATTCCTCATTTTGATCAGACGTTTTTAATCTTACTGCAGAAGCAGTTCTCAGGGGTGGGCAAACAAATTTTGGTTCAAAATGCCAACAACGTATAAAAGTGGCTATGAACTCCAAGGACTCCCTTTAATATACAGTTACATATATAATTTGTTGCAAATAACATGCAGTGAAATATGCATTTCTAAGCAGTATGTATTCCTGCTTCACTCCTTTTTAACCTCAACTTTAAATATGGTTAAACCCTCTGGTTTGTAAAGACTTGGTATACAGCTTCTAAGATCAAAGAAAAAGGTAAATTCTGCTTCAAGGAACAAAGCAAAGAGACAAAAGGAGACCATAGCCTGACATAGGGCATCACTCTTCTCACTGACATTTTGCACTTTTTGTTAACAAAATAGAGAGACAGAAGTTGTCTGGATGCTGCATGACTTAATCCCATGAACTGATTCTAGGCAATGATACAGAGTCAGGCTGCCATTCTTTTTACAGAGGACATTAAGGATTGATACCTTTTTCTTCCACTGAAGATGAAACATCTGCTAGCTCACCTCACAAAGCCTATGTCACACTGAGAGACACTTTAACAGGCATAACAACTGCACACCTTGCCATTTCCTCAAAACAACCTTTAACAGAGGATATCTAGAAGCCCTTCACCACCACCACATTGCAACCAATGCTCTAGATAAAGACAAAAAAATTCTAAGTCCTCGCAGCTTCAGGGTAAGCACTGGTGTCAGGCAAGTATCAGGCCCTGGTCATAACCTCTGGAATGCAAACTCATGGTATTAACTGCTTTATCAGCATGAGATGAAACCTTTCAGTTGAAGTCTCCTGGTAACGTTTCATGTCAAGCCTCTACAGCCAAGACATTAACAGCAAAGCATGCACTCTAACTCTGCTTAATTCAAAAAGAAGCTTGACAATCAAACTCTCTTTAGCTATCACTTGGCTTGTAAACTAACAAAAACCCCAAGCCAATGAGAAATCAATACTAGTGTTTCCACAGCTCTCCTATGAATGATCATGGTCTCTTTTCTGTTCATTACGGTGTTACTGTATGGCTGCTCAAACTGCCAGACCAAAATCAATTACTTGTTTGAGCATAGGAACTTTCTCCACATCTTTACATTCACATTAATAAGACAGTAACTGCAGTGGGAGTAGCTTTACATAAGCTACTGAATTTTGAATTATGAATTATGAATTTTATAAGCCAAAATGCAGTGCCTGGCACCAAATTTATGAGTAAATAGATGTTGCTAAGATTTTTTTCTATTAATTGGCTATCATTAGAGTAGATCTTGACTTTACAAACTGTATTTATTCTGCTACAGCTATTAAAAAAAAAAAGAAACTGCTTAGGCTGACATTTTTCACTCTTGGTCTGAGTCCAGAAAACAGAACACACACATTCAGCTGTTTTAATTACAGGGGTGGGATAGGAAGAATTAAGCATGACATTTAAGTCTTGTAACCCTCCAGGAAATATTACATCTTTAAATCCACTCCTATCTTACCTAAGGGATATAATACAGAAGGTATTCAAAGAAAGAAACATACACTGCTAGTCTAAGGTTTTCCAGGAAGGAAGAGGCCTCCTGGTTCCTTCACTCCCACCCTGAATCCTATTAAACTGTCAATTCAGTTGTTTTGGGTTTTTTTAAGACACTCTATACAGGCAGAGAGCTTAAATCCACTCCTACATCTGCTCTCACCTACCACTCATAGGCTTAAGAATAGTTTTCTAGTAGCAACTATACAGTGTGTCTGTCCATGGGAGCACTGAACATTTGGTCAACTGTGATGCAGTTGCATTTACTTAACACCTTTGCCTGGTTTTGAGTCAACTGCTTCTTAGCGTAAAATACTATGGCTGCTATTAAAAGCTGATGTAAAAGACATCATTTAAAGTCATGTTAAAGACATCCTTACACACCACAGAAGACATCTCAGCACCAAGAGAAATGAGAAGTAACAAGAAAACACATTTGAGAAAGGGTAACATGCAAGACAGACATCTTCAAACAGAACAAGCAATTAGAGAGCCAGTATACTAAATTACCCTTCCCTTACTTGAAATCTAGCATCTAGGCATTTCAATGAACTTGTGGGCAACAAGCTGTATACATGAAAAAGACATGGGTTTTTCAGTTTGAATATCATTAGCTGAACATACAAATGAAACCAGAAGACATGGTGCTGGCTCAAGACAACTCAGGAATGGCTCACAAGAAAGAAACAGTGACGACAGTTCTTTGCTTGAGGAACACAAAGTTAATCTGTTCATGAATAGTTGTCTGGCACAGTCAGCAATATATTCAGCAAAGCTTACATTCCTACGCTCAATGGGCAGCTCCGTTTTCCTGGGAACATGCTCACTGCCAAGATGCCAGCACGCATGCTGCAGCATCTCTCCCACGCCTGCCAAGGGAAAAGGGAGAATGACTCCACGAATTTACCTGCTATCCATGTAAGCAGTCTGAATCTTTTAAACCGCTTTCTGTTCTTTCCCAGGAACATGTAATTTGTTCACTTTGCCTTGCAGACAATTTACGTGATGCTCACATTTACCTCACAAGACGAGGGGACTATCCAAACTTTTTACAAAGACCAGAAATAAAGCCAAAGTACAAGCCATTCAGAGACAGGCTGTGTCTTCCAATCCACATCTGCACTAAAAGCTGTTCAAAGCTCTACAGCATCACGACACATTCTGGGGTAATCGTCTTCAAGTAGAGGGGGCAGATATAGGGCATGCTTCTGTTTCCATTCTATATAAAACAAAAAACCACTGTATCTAAGGACCATCAAAACTCTTGTTTAGTATCAAGAAAACTTCAGAAGCTTTGCTACCTAGTAAATACATACTAGTTTGTGCTATTTTTACTTGTATCTTTCTGTATCAGGGTCTGCAGGACCCAGTGTAGTGTGTCAAGGAATTCAAAATGACTTCAGCAATATAAGCCTCTTCAAAAAGCAGCAGGCAAGGAGGCTCTTCTCAGATTAGCTTGCTCATGACAACGTCATTTTTAATAGCAAGTCTGGCAATAGAGTGACCTCTACCTCAAGTCAAAAACCATCTTTTTGATGTCCACACATGAACAAGCACACATTTCTGACACTTCTGGCTTTTACAGTCCAAGTTTTAATACGGATCATTCATTTGATCTGATTCAATTCAGTGTGATTCACAGAAGTAAAGGCTTGTTTCACACACGATTAAGCAATCTTCCCCCAGCAAAACAGATGGATAAATGCCTACAGCAATTGATGTTTGATGGGGCTTTTTTTTCCTTTTAAATATTATGGACTCCAAAAAAGGCCAGTCTGAGTCACCTCTTTAAAAAAAGGACTGTCGATACTAACAGATCATAAAGTTGAC